CCTATTACATATTACTGATCAAATAAACAAGTTTAACTTTCAAAGGAACACATGTCTCATTGAATAATTGCTATTCAAACAGCAATACCTGGTGGCAGCAACTAAGGAAGAAAAGTGAGCACCTCCTGGAGGCCTGAGATAATAGAGGCTTCAGTGCGCTCCGCTCGCTACACCCTCTATCACAGGACAACCCAAGCTCATTTCTAAGCTACTGAACAGTTTGAAGAAAAGAAAAGGAGTCAAAAGGAGTGCCAAAAAAGCACTTACTGGAGAGAAATCTGGACAGAGTGCCTACCTCAGCCTTGTAAATTCAACACAGTTTCTGTGCCACACAGCACCACACACAAATGGTGTAACTTTTGCTAGATAGGAAAGGAGGTCCTCCTTCTGCTTTAGAGGATGAACATATGGTAAGTGCCAACATATCTGACTCCTACAAGGACAGCCTTATACTGGAACATAGTAAGACTTGGCTGTTCTCAGGTGGGCTTGTGATGCTGACTTTGAGTTATTTACTAGTTTACCTACTAAGATTTACTGTTGCAGAACTTGTTGCAACTACTTGACTTCTTCCCCATATTAATAGGCTAGAAGAATACAAACAAGTCTGCTCTTTTAAAATCTCTTCTTATTTTAGATAAGCCTTTCTGGGTCTGCATACACCTCGTGTGTGCGATTGTGTTTTCATCAGTTCAGATGGTCTGGGAGGAAAGGAGGGCAGAATAACTTCCTGAAGCCAATGGAAAAATAGAGTTACCTTTTCAGGACAGAGAACGTATCACCCTTCTGTATCAGTCAGAGCTCAGTTCCAACTGAAAGTGCACCTAGTTGTGAAATGCTGCATACTGAAATGCTGGTTGTAAGACATAAGACTTTCCAAGACAAATCTTTGACAGAAATCCTTAAATTTAAAGGAAACTTTAGTAAGGGTCTTCAAGACCATATGTAGATTCCATAAAGGACATGGTTTGGTTAAATAAGTCCTCTTAAAAACTCTTGATGTCATGAAAGGATGAAAAGTTCCCTGGCCCTTTTGGCAAGCACTGATAACATTGCTACTTTAAGATATTAGAGGCAAACCCTTTCTCCACGTTTTCTTGAAGAAAGGCTAATACAATACATACTAATGCTAGATGAACGTTGTTGCTTTTTTAAAATTTCCTGAGATTTCATGTAGTAGGTGCAATCAGGAGGTCTTTCAGTTATACTTACCACTCACTTATTCTGAGCATTCCAGATGCCCCACAAGGCCCAAAAGAAGTCCCACTATGTGGGTCTCATGCCTATGCTGGGAGCTGAGACGTTCACTACTCTTTATTTCCCCAAAGCTAACTAGAGCAAAAAGAGAAGAGGTAAAGAAAAGGAGACTGGGAAGCAACTATAAAATAGAACATTATGGCTGACGTTTAAAAAAACAGCAAAGGCAGGAAGTAAGGCTGGACTTGTTTGGGTGCTCTATAACAACTGGTTTGGGGGGGAGGCGCTTGTAATAAAAGAACAATAATTAGAATCTGCCTTAAGAGCATTTATTATCTATGGCTTAAATGTGTATATAAAAATGGCGGGATAGCTCAGTACTGTAGTTTAGGTCCTTGTCTACAAAAGCAGAGGTTGGGAATTTGCTTTCCCACTGTGCCTCCTTGACAGGGGCTGGACTTAATGATCTGTAGGGTCCCTTCCAGCTCTGCAGTTCTAACATAGTGGTAGTAGTTATTATTATTATTACTACTACTGTTATTATGTCAATTTCAGATAGAATCATAGAATTATGAAGTTCAAAGGGGTCTATAAGGCCATCAGGTACAACAACCTGCTTATTGTAGGAATCCAAGTTAAATAATATCTGACAAATGACCCTCTTGCCTTCTCTTGAATGCATCCAATGTCAGAGAGCTCACCATCTCCCAAGGCAAATGGTTTCATTGTCATACTGCTCTAACAGGAAGCTTTTTCTGATATTCAACCAAAATCAGGCTTACTGTAACTTGAGACCATTATTACATGTCCTGTACTCTGGGGATTGCATCTCCCAAGGCAAATGGTTTCATTGTCACACAGCTCTAACAGGAAACTTTTTCTGATATTCCACCAAAATCAGGCTTACTGTAACTTGAAACCATTATTACATGTCCTGCACTCTGGGGATCATTGCCCCTCCTATGTATAATAAATATTTGAAGCGTGCTATTGCATCTCCCCTCAGTACTGTAACTTGAGACCATTATTACATGTCCTGTACTCTGGGGATTGATTGAAAACAGATCCTGCCCCTCCTATGTATAATAAGTATTTGAAGCGTGCTATTGCATCTCCCCCTCAGCCTTCTGTTCTCAAGCCTGAACATGCTCAGTTCTTTCCGTCTTTCCTCACAGGGCTTGGTTTCTAGTCCCCAGATCATCCTTGGTACCCTTCTCTGAACCTGTTCCAGTTTTTCAACACCCTTCTTAAATTGTTATTTCCTCACAGGGCTTGGTTTCAAGTCCCCAGATCATCCTTGGTACCCTTTTCTGAACCTGTTCCAGTTTTTCAACAGCCTTCTTAAATTGTTGTGCCCAGAACTGAATACAGTACTCAAGATGAGGCCTAAACGGTGGTGAATATAGAGGCACTAGTATTCCACAGAATTTTGAGACTATGCTACTGTTAATGAAGCCTAAAAGAGCATTTACTCTTTTCTTCAGCAACATCACATTGTTGGCTTGTATTCAGCTTGGAATCTTCAATGATTCCTAGATTAAGGAATACATATTGTATTGCTAAACCAAGCATCCACCTCACCCCTCATTTTGTAACTGTATGTTTGATTTCTTTTTCCTATGTATTGAACTCTGTACTTATGTCTATTAAATTTCATTCTTTTTTTCCAGCCCAGTGCTTCAGTCTATCAAGAACAGAACCCTTTGAATTTTATTTCTGTTTTGCAGGGTATTCACTATTCCATCCAATTCTGTAACACCTGCAAATCTGATGAGCATTCTCTGCACCCTCTCATCCAAGTCATAAATAAAAATATTGAACAGCACCAGGCTCACACCTGCAAATCTGATGAGCATTCTCTGCACCCTCTCATCCAAGTCATAAAAATATTGAGCAGCACCAGGCTCGTGACTGTGTCTGTGGTCCCCCACTTGTTGCCTCTTCCTAGTTTGAGAAGGAAACATTCATAACCATGCTCTGGTTATCAATGGTTCTGTAACCAACTATGGATCCATCCGATCAATGTTCTATCCAGCCCACATTTAGTTAGCTTGCTAATCAGAATATCATCGGGCAAAAGTTTTTCTGAAGTCAAGATTTATTATGTCCAAAGAATTCTCACTGTCTACAAAGAAAGTTGTCTGGTCATACTTGCTAATCAGAATATCATCGGGCAAAAGTTTTTCTGAAGTCAAGATTTATTATGTCCACAGAATTACCACTGTCTACAAAGAAAGTTGCCTGGTCATAAAATGAAATAAATGAAATTGTTCCTGAAAAAAACTATGTTAGTGTCTAGTCATCACTACATTTTTTTCAAGGTGGTCACAAACTGACTGATTTATAATCTGCTCTAGAATTTCCCCCAAGATTAACATCAGGCTGACTGGACTGCAGTTCTCAAGTCCCTCCTTTCCACCCTTTCTGAAGATAAGGGCAACATCATCTGGCATTTCACCCATCCTCGATGATTTCAAGAAAATAATATAGAGTGGTTTTGAGAGTTCTTCAGCTAGCTCCTTCAATTCTTTTGGATATAGTTCATCATGCCCTGAGAATCTGAACTCATTCACGGTAATGAGATATTCCTTGACTTTTGTCTATCAATCTCAGACTGCAATCCTGTCCTTTCCTTGTACTTTACATTTGCCAGAAGAGTTATAGACCCCACGAAAAAAACCCACAAAAAACCCACAACTCCCTCCCTTTAAAAAACACCCAAAAGCCCTAAGCTAAAGTCTATCAATCTCAGACTGCAATCCTGTCCCTTCCTTGTACTTTACATTTGCCAGAAGATTTATAGACCCCACCAAAAAAACACAAAAACACACAACCCCCTCCCTAAAAAAAACCCACCCAAAAGCCCTAAGCTAAGGTAAGAATAGAGCACTTCTGCCTTTTCATTGTCATCTGTTACCATTTTGACATCCCCACTGAGTAGGTGAGTCACTATTTCTTCTCTGTCTTTTCTTAAGCATGTACTCAAACAATCCTTTTTTGTTGTTTCTAGCATGCTGCCTTTTCATTGTCATCTGTTACCATTTTGACATCCCCACTGAGTAGGTGAGTCACTATTTCTTCTCTGTCTTTTCTTAAGCATGTACTCAAACAATCCAAGCATGTACTAAAAAAAAAAAAGCTCTCAGAGCTTTTTTGAGGTGACACTGGTCTTTTTTTTTATGTCTTCCAAGTCAGTTCATTCTCAGCTTTTGCCTTACAAATATTTGCTACCAGTCTGCATTTCTGCTTTGTGATCTGGCCTTCCTTCCACTTTCTGTACATGTCCTTTTCTGTTTTCAAGGTCCTCTCAGAGCTTTTTTTATGTCTTCCAACCTTTTTTTTGTTGGAATTGTTTGTAATTGTGCCTTTAGAATTTCCTTTATAAGAAACTCACATCCATCTTGGACTACTTTTCTTGCTAGGATCCTCTGCCATATGGCCTTACTTCTAATTGTTTTGAATTTATTGAAAACAGCTTTCCTAAAATCCAGATGAGTTCTAGGTGCTTGTGGAATCTCATATTGAAAAATCGCCACTCTGAAACAATATCTCATATAGAAAAACCAAGCAGTGCTCAGTCACTCCATCACTGCCGAAGAAACAGAAGAGACACTGCACACCACCTCTCCACCTTGCTCTTCACAAGTCCTACCCTAAGTGACCCATATATGTCAAAAGCATCACATTAAATTTGATTTAAAATATTTTATGCCAGTGGTTAGGATACAAACATCTCAAGTCAGTTATCAAGGTAAAACAATGGAGTAATTAATAAACATGAGGATTAACAAAAGCTAGTGATGGCAATGAACATCTTATTTTTAAAAAAATAATTAAAAACAAAGAAAAAAACACAATTAAAATAATTATAAATCTCATCAAAACCTATGAACACTCCCCACAGGAGAATACAGAGGAAAATGTATGAACCTTGAGGCTTTTTGAAAGTCTTGCAGTCATGCAGCTTGATGAACTTCAGTTGGGGCTACTATAGAAGAGGCCCTTTTCCATGCCCATCTGTTCAGAGGCAGACATATGAAAAAGGTCTCGGTGGACCACCTTAAGCTGTGATCAAGCCAGTATTGATGCAGATTCAGGTAACTCAATTTCAAATAACTCAAAGCAATAACGATTAAAATGCAAGCAATGCAGCTGGCACAAGGTAAGTGGCATAAGAACCAACTACCAAGCTGTCAATCTCTAAAAGTAGCTCCACGTAAAACACTGGAAATCACTAGTACATAAATAGCCAATGCAAGGTCAAAAGTCTCCAGAAAGGGCCAAAGCTAATAAAAAGCAGTCCTGGTTCCTGCTTCCACCTGGCTCTTCCTAATTCATACTAAATTTTGGAAGCCCGCGAGCAGCACTCTCTTCTCAACTTTTTTACGTGGATGTTGAAAAGTATGGGGGAAGAAATGAAAGGTTATGGCACTTATTTATTCAATAAAACAAACAGGAATGTGAAGCTTAGAACAAAAGTTCCAAGCCAAGTGTTTTCTCTTTCCAAGCTACCAAAATCCAAGCAACCCTTGTTATTATGACAGGTTTGCCTTACCTGCTGAACTGCTGCTAGGCTATGTAACTGAGCACTGTTGAGCTGCTGTTGAAGCATAAACTGATGGAAATACTGGGCTGCGTTTGGCTGACGCTGCAGTGCTTGAAGTGCCTATAATAAATAAGAAATATAAATTCAAAACACAGAACACTAAGCCTAATATGCCAGTGGATCTGCAGGATTACTTGGACCATCAAACTCACTACTTGAACTTTCCAGAGCTTTAGCTTCAAGACTTCTTTCCCTTGCTTTTACTGTCCATGCATCACCCATTTACATCAGTCTCACCAAGTCTGTCACAACCATTTTGAATTGCGTTTGGCAGGACAAAAGCGGGAAGGTGGGCAGGTTGTGTAAATCCATAAATGACCAATCAAAGAACCTCAGTTATAGGTGAATAGGCTGTCCTTTGTCATGGTGACTGTGATTCACACAACTGGGTGACTAGTAAGCTCAGTTACCAGAGTTGGGTTTTGACACCAGAACTGAAGACAGGACTTCTCTACTAAATGAAGCTTCTCTCTGAGCCTTCAAATCAAGTCTATCATGATTTCCAAATGTGAGAGGTTGAGTCCACATTGTTGCTCTGCAAATGTTCTGAATGTCAACCCCTCTCATGAAGGCTGTTGAAAAAAGACACTGATCTAGTTGAATGACCTTTGATGTTTGATGGCAATTTGATTTTTGTGATGTCACAGGCCAATTTTATTGTATGATCCACTCTTCTGGAGAAACACTGAAGATACTGAAAAGCCTTTTTAGTACAGTACCTTGATAATGTACAAAGAGTCTAGACATTTTTATGCTGGATAAATAGAAAGCTACAGCCCTCATCACATCTAAGACATGTAATTTCTAAGTCATGTTATTTCAACACACAAAAAAGGTAAAATTGGTTGATACGAAATGACACTACCTTTGGGAGGAAGGATATGTCAGCATGCAACATCACTTTATCTTTGTTAAACTGATTGTATAGAGGATCACATCTCAATGCAAAAATTTCACTTGCTCTTCTAGCGGAAGTAATAGCAACTAGGAATGCCATTTTGAACGTCATTAACCTTAAATCTGTTTTTTGCTGTGGGTTCAAATTGATTTATAGTTTCAGAGTCAACATCAAAGACCAAGACCAAGATGCTTCAGGTGGCTTCACATCCAGGCAAATATTCTTCAAACCTTTTAGAAATATCTATAGAATTGAATCTCAATGGCTATGACGACTGATGATTTTCATATTGGTGCACCACTATTGCAGCTAAGTAAATTTTCAAAGATGAAATTAACAAACCCAGGTGTTTTAAGTGAAAAGGAAATTTAAGAGTAGTTTGTAGCAAAGCTAGACTGCTACTCTCATTAATTAATGATGTACACAATTGTTTAGTAAATGGTTTTCTTACTTGCTGCAAGATATGCTTTATTGGTTGAGTTATTCTACAAACAGTTACCTTCAGCTACTTTATATCTTGGTATTGTATCAATCTTTTCTGATACATTAGAAGGCTGTAGCAGAATAGTAATTTCATTTTCTCCTTCACCATTAGCAACATAGTAAACCAAGGCTGATGAGGCCAACATGGAGTTATTAGAATTACAGTACAGTACATCTGATTTGTCCTGTTTAATCTTCAGTATTGTGCCATGAAACAATCGAAATGTGAAAAATATACACCTTAGCCATCTGTTCCAAGGGATTATGACCATATCTCCCAGAGAATTTCCCTCGTTTGCCCACTAGCAATACATTTTGCATGTAGGAGTTATTCACGTGCAAAAAAATAAAAGCTGCCCAAAGGGGTACAGAAATAATTAAGAACTCCAGGTCGCTTCCAATTCTAGTTCAGATATCTATCTATTGGTCAAGAAGATTAAAACAAAACAGTGTTGTGTGTACTCAGGGGATCTTTTTCACTCTGTTGCTTTCATATAACACACAAACAGGGATAACTTCATCTCTGCTCACACATGGTTTGAGATTACTTGCATCACTGGGTTTAAGTCCAGTCCCACATCTTTCAATAAAGTAATTCATCTTACTCAGTTTTACCTTTATCACAAAAGGGCTTTCCCACATTATTTGGAACTTGCTGTGTTTCACAGGTCTAGAACTTGATCCTCCTCCCCAATATGCCATACTTTTGTATCATGGTAAAAATTTTGCTTAATTTGAACTGCTTCAAGGCTATCTTTAGCCACTTCATGGAAAATTTTTACCCCTTGCTTTAGCTGAATCACAAATTCTGCAACTGAAATGGGGCTATTAGCAACCCTTCCCTATCAGTCTTCTTTATGCAAGCTCAATGGACCACACAAATTATGGCAAAAGACCAGTTCATCTGAACTGCACCCAGACAGATTTTCTTGCAGAGCATTCCAGTACACAAAAAGAAGATAGGGCAAAGCATCATTCCAATCTCTGGAATGCTCGAATGCATAGGACTTTATCATTTTCTGCGACATCTGTTGGGTTTGCTCCACTAGACCATTTGCCAACTTTTGATAAGCCACTGTGGTTCATTGCTCCAGCCCTGCAATTTCACATACTTTAACCATCAGCTTAGACACAAAGTTAGTGTCTCTATTGGTCACTGAGATGTGAAGCAGTCCTATTCTTCCTGTAAGTTCCATGAATGCTCTGGCCCCATTTTGAATGTTCACGGAGGTCAAGGGAATAGTCTCTGTGTATCTTATAGCATAGGGACGTGGTGGCGCTGCGAGTTAAACTACAGAAGCCTCTGTGCTGTAAAGTCTATAGATCTTCAGCTGTAAGATCGAATCCACGCGACGGAGTGAGCGCCCGTCGCTTGTCCCAGCTCCCGCCAACCTAGTGGTTTAAAAGCATGCAAATGCAAGTAGATAAATAGGGACCACCTCGGTGGGAAGGTAACAGTGTTCCGTGTCTAAGTCGCACTGGCCATGTGACCACGGAAGATTATCTTTGGACAAAACGCTGGCTCTATGGCTTGGAAACGGGGGTGAGCACCGCCCCCAGAGTCGAACACGACTGGACAAAAATTGTCAAGGGGAACCTTTACCTTTACCTATCTTATAGCATAATCAATAAAAGTTGGAAAAAACCTCATCCCACACCAGGTTAGGAGGAGTCTATATCAGTCCCAGCGTATCCCTGGCTATCTCATGAAAAGGTACAGATACTTTGGGTGCAGGCTGTAAGAATACCTTGATCTTATCTTGAGAGTAGACCACTTTCTGGAAAATGGGGCAAAAAATACAGTACAACTACACCTCTTTAGCACATTAGGCCAATAAAAACACCTAGAAATTCTTGCCAGAGTTCTTTTAACAGCCACGTGTGCCACAAATGCCCAAACATGCAGAGCTGGGACAATTAGCTACTTCCTTGAGTTCCCGTTAGTTTGTCTTCTCTTGGCAGACTAACAATAAATCAGACCATCTTCCCAGAAAAAACTTACCATCACTCTCTTATACAGCCCAGATGAGCCATGGTCTGCTTTGACCTGACACTCAGATAAAGTGGGGTCTTTTCTCCTAAAAAGCATCAGAGACGAAATTCTGTTCTGAATAAGTCGCCACAATATTAGGTGGCTTTGTAGGTGGCTCTGTGGGGACAACAGCTTCCTTTGAACTCATCTGAGCCTCCGCCTTGAGACCCTCTTGCCCTGAGGAAGAGGTTTCGTTTGGACATTTGGATTGGCTGCAGCCTGGCTACATGTAGTCACACACTGGATCAAGACCCAGCAATACAGGAACTCCTTGCCAAGAAGGAACTCAGGATTTTATGGGCCAGAGTATACTAGAACGCACTTCTTTCCCTTTCATCCCTCAAATACAATGCTCCACAATGCCATCTGTGCATACCAACTAATGAGTTAATCCACCCCATAATTTTGCACAGGAAACTAAGTCCTTTGCAATTTGCCCATCCTGGGGAATGAATGCTACTCTTGTCCAATACTCAGAATCCTTATGGGCTTTAATTTCCAAACACACTTCCTCATAAAAAATCTTCACAGACTTAAATATTCCCTTCTTTTGCCCACTCTGCTTCTTCTGGAGAGACTGGGTCCACAATTTTAAAGTTGTCCCTAGCTTCCAACACTCACACCGGCATTTTCCCATCTCTGAAGGTGGGAACAGCTTCTACCCTTGGAGTATGGATGGACTGCATAACTTCAGCAGCTCTACCAGGCGTACAAGAGCTACGTGTAGAGTGGAGTTGCTTTGGTTACTGCTGCTTGTTAAAGCCATCTCGCTGTTAAAACCTTGTTCACTGCCAGCTTTGAAAACTTGGTCACCACAGATAAATTCCACACTTTCTGCACCTCCGTATTCCTGCACACTCTCTGCATCACACTGTGAGAGTGTTTTTGTTGTCAACTTCAAGCTCACTTTTGATGTCAACAGAAGGACATCTCCTTTTGATGTTGTTGTCTTTTCTTGAGCTGGTATTTTTTAGGTGCAGGTTCCATTGTTTTTTGCTTCTGTGGTTTGATGTTGACCGCCTGGTTATGGTATTCTTATTTGAAATATCAATCTTTTTAAGGATTTTCCCCAAAGATATGATCTTAAATGGGACTGATAATTTTTCAATGTCAGTTCAGTAAATCTCTGAAGATTACACAACTTTTAACTAAACAAGGCTCTTCTAAGCAAAATAAGCATTGGTCATGTCCATGTGCCCGAAGTATTTTTGCTCCATAGCTAGAATAGTATTTCATTAAGGCAGCTGAGGTCACAAACCATTAAAATTCAATTCCTGGATAAGGAAACAGGGTGAGTTAACAACAACAAAAAAATTAACTGTCTACTTTTTCCCCAAAAGCCAAAAAGAAAGGTAAGTAAAAGTAAGTTTAAAGGCTTTTAAAGAAAAGTATTATTGTTTTCTACACTCTGAAATGAACAGAGGATGTTGTTGCCATGGCAGACAAAAAGGTACTTAGGTGGAGTATGCACAGCAAAAGCAAAGGAAAGAGGTCTGGAGTATAAAGCTCTAGAAAGATCTGTGGATAGTGTTTGTGCAGGTGCAGAAATCAATTGTGTGAATCACGGAGACCATGACAAAAATGGATTTGACTTTAATGAGAAAGAATCAATCATTTGGCCATGCCTTGTCTCCCAGAATAACCATCCTAGACTCCCCATCCTAGACATGTTGCCATAAGAGACAGGAAAAGAACCAAAAACAGATCTAATGCAAAAAGAATATTAATATATTCTTTGTTTTGACATACCAAGAGACTGGGAGCTGAACAGAAATATTTGATAGGAGTCAATGTTCTTGAACTAAAAATGATATGGCCATAAATGAGTTTTCCATATTACAGTAGCTCTACAAACAAAACCAACATGCCAGTTAAATTTCCCCAGCCCACCTCGAAACAAAGATAATATCTGACCTGCACTGCTTGCCGCTCATAGAGTGTCATCTGTGATATCTGCGGGCGGGTGCTCCCTCCAGAGCCTGAGCTGCCACTTGCGGAGTTTGAATTTTGCTCGCTTTCTGTCTCCATGATTCAGATCCACCAATCCTTGGTTGAAGTTTTGTCTCAAGCACTAAGATCAAGTGAAACAGAGATTAGCTCTTATGAAAGAAACAGCCACATTTGTGTCTTATCTGTATTTAAATTACCTGAATGATTCCTTTTTGGGCCAGCTCCTAACTCTGCCAAATTGTCAAAAATATGCCTCACAGTGTAAAGAAAGAAAAAACAAGAAAATCAAATAATTACGTTTAGAGTTATTTAAAGTTACATAGATATAATCCTGAAGTTTCTCGGATTCATAACCATTCTTTTATTGTAGTAAACAAAGATTAGGAAACCTAAACAAATTTAAAGACAAAGGAAGTAAAGAACCAGATGTTAGCTATTCAGGGCAGCCATTCACTTCTGATGTTCATCAATTATCTAATTACCTTTTCAATAGGAAACAAGCAGTAGAAGTGCAAACAGAAACTTGTTGCCAAGACAGACAAAAAGATACATGGGTGGAATATGGACAGTATATGTGCCATACGGTATAAAGCTTATACATGAAACCAACATGAGTCTCACAAAAACATCCTCTTAGCCACTGGCTACACAGCAACTCTACTTCAGCAACAAGGCATGTATGTAATTCTTGTGCGCTACACTTATTACTCAGAATGAAAGAAAATGACTATTTGGAAATGCAGAGCAATAAGTGTAACACATGCAAACTTGCACTCCAATCCAAGGTACCTAGTCACAAGAGTTATTTTCACTACAAGAGCTCTGTGTTTTGCCAGCACTATCTACTTTTCCATACCACCCTGATGAGGATCCAGTCAGCTATGCTCAACAATCAATCCTTATCCACCAAACTCTACAAAGCCCATTCCAGCCTTGTGACTTGCACAATGATATTGGGTACAAACATTTTCCATGCAGTATTTTACACTGCCTTTTCTGCTAAAATCCTTTCATTTTAGAAATCTATTTCAATTCTAGAAATCTATTTTAATAACATTAAATGAATAATTAAATACAAGTCAAAGCAATTAGTAATGTCAAATCAAATACTGTTTTCAAGTGATTCTCTCTGGCAAGCATACTTATTTGTGAACACTGCTTTTCAAACTCAATAAAATTAGCACATTAAGTTGGGGTACTTTTTTCCCTTTAAAAGCTAATCCATGTAAGTAAGCTATATTACTATTTATTTACAAATATTCTGAACAAGAAGGTCCTCTCTCAGATCTGAGTGCTCTAGGACTGAAAGAAAGGCTTCCCTTGAGGATCTTAAAACTCAGGCTGTCTCATATGTGGAGATGCAGTCTTTCAGATAGCTTGGGCTGATGTCATCTAGGGCTCTATAGGTCAAAATCATCACTCTGAACTGGGCCCAGAAAAGGATTGGCAGCCACTGGCACTGTTGTAACAGGAGAGATATGTGATCCCTATTACCAGCTCCAATTAAGAAACTGTGTGCAAAATTTTGGACCTGCTGAAATTTCCAAACACCTTCCAAAGGCAGCCCTACATATACTGCATTATAGTAATCCAAATGGGATTATAACAAAGGCATGTGTCGCCACGGCCTAATCAGATATCTCAAGGAATGGCACAGCTGGTGCACTAGTTTTACCTGTGCAAATGCACTCCTGGCCACCACTGAAACCTAGGAATGCAGGCTCAGAGCACACCCAGCAAAGAATTTGAGTTTTCAGAGGGAGCCTGAATCCCTGTTCCCTACTCGCCTATCAACTGACCAGCACCATACATGTGGATCAAACTTACGTTTATTCATCTTCATCCACTCCATTATTGAAACCAGACAATGATCTAGAGCCAAAACAGCTTCCATAGATTAGGACAGAAGGGAACAACTGGGTATCGCCCAAATAAAGGTGACACGAAACCCCCAAACTCTGGACAACCTCATGTATGTTAAACAGTATGGAGGACAAAACAGAAGCCTGAAGGACACCATAGTCAATGGCCAGGATGTAACAGAGTCATAGAATAATGGAGCTGGAAGAAGCCTATAAGGCCAATGAGGCCAACACCCAGTGCAGGAATCCAAATCAAAATAGATACAACGGATTCACACACCTTCAAGAATATGTTTTCTGCATTTTAGTGCCTTCCAAATTCTACAGGGCACACAGTTCTTTTATAATTCTCAACTTGGAATCTATCCACTGATAAATATTAGTAGTTGTGCTGTGTCTATTATGTCATTGCTTTAATCTAATGCCAAAGGGGGAAAAAATCAAAACTTTTTGCCTTGACAGTTAGTGACAAATGCAGCTCTTCTCCTAGTTTTTCAACAAGCCTTGTAACTGTAGATACAGATAAACTTACACAAGTAATGCAATATACTTTAGCAGGAAATATTTTCTCCATTATTTTAACAATGTACTTTTTAACCAATAAAAGAAGCAACATATTTTGCAATATGATAGCTGGTCCTCACAGTCAACATGTTCTCTTCAATGCGCTTTCTAAAACTATTTTGCTGAAAAACATTGATTTTTTTAAAAGAATTCATCTTGTTCATTCTCGCCTCTCCTTGATATATTGAGTAGCTCTTGTGACAGGATTCAAAGTGCCTCTTAACACTGTACTCCTTTAATACTGTGACAGTTTCAAGACATATTAGGCAAACTGCTTTATCCTTGTTTAAAAGAAAGAAGTACTGTCTGTCATTAAAGATGCAGTGATTATGTACAATTTTTCTTTCTTTGAAACAGCATGTTCTTTTGCAAAAATCTTACAGAAATTTTATCAGAGCAAGAGTTGCAGAGTTACAATATGATCCTTGAATAAATAAAAATATGAGAAATCTAGTTTTCAGGGTCTAACTCTTTCTTTTCCCATCAAATCCACCCCACTCTGGCTGCTGCTAGTTGGCGATTTTCATTTTGGCTAGAAATGGGGGTATTCGTATTCATATGAATATGAATACCTCTGCACAGCTGCGCTTAACAAGGGTCCAGCCCCTGGGGCCAGGACCATCCACTCACGCATCCGGCTACAGCAGCAGCCTTGGTCAGCCTTTCAATCACTCCCGGAGTGCCACTTTCTTTCTGCTGGTCTAGACTCTAGCCAACTCCAGGCATGGGGAGGGAGGACGTCTCCCTGCATGGCTGCCAAATCTGTAATTTTGACCATGGCAAAGAGACACTTGCCTCTAGAGTTCTCAGGAATATTGGGCCATATGTGCAGACTTGGAACAATTTTAAAACATGGATTATGAATCTGACACACTAGATGACAGAGTTCCAATCTTAAGTACATTGAATATTATGAGATTTATTTGCTAATAAACACACTGCCTTGGGGATAAATCTACACATGGTAATACTGTGAAAATTGGCTACTCTCCAAAAAAGGGCAGGCAGACAAAAAGAGGGAATGAAGGGGCAGCCTCCCAACTGAAGCAAGAAAATACACCATTAAGTTGGATCCAAATTATATGCAGGGTGCACATACACATCACTGCCTGCCAACCAAGATTGATTCATGAGAAGCAAAATGGCAGCCAAGGGGAAGGGAACTTGTCTGCAAGAAGATATGGGAAGGGGAATCCCATAAGCTCTCCTGCTAAGGGAATACTCCTTCCCTCTCAACCCTGTGATTACAGGGGCTCAACAGCTCCTACAGACACAGATGCATGAGAAGACTGATAGCTGGAGTGGGTGGGGGAGAAGAGGGGAAAGCAAGTAAGGCAAGAAGTTGGAGCAGCCAGATCTTGTTGAGGAAGAAGGCCATTGCCTCAAGCAGCAACCTCACCATGAACCTTGCAAGCCACTTGGAGGAGCCTTGATGGGTGCAGCCTCTAGGAAGGTTTAGTATGCAAAACACTTGGTATCTTTTTTTGCAAAAATATCAGGCCTTTTATTCTCCTTTTCCCGCCTTTTTTGCAAGAGTAGGCCAGGCATCTCACACAACTTCTTTATCTTCCTTACAGACATATACAGTCTTCAACATGGTAATGCATGGAGGAGGAGTGAAAAAGCTTTTTGTTTAGTCTTGGTCTCGTTGTATTGGAGATACATTTGAAACACTACAGTGGGGTCTCTACTTAAGAACGTCTCTACTTAAGAACAATTCAACTTAAGAACAGCTCCATTTGCTAAATTTTGCTTCTACTTGAGAACAGAAATCCAAGATAAGAACAGGAAAAAAAACCTTTCCTGCTCTTTTTTTAACCTTAGGTCATCTTAGGTTAAAAAAATTCTCCCCCTAGTGGTAGAGTACGTATTAACCAGCTTTGCATTAGTTCCTATGTACGAACACACCTCTACATAACAAAAAAACAGGCAGAACGGATTAATTGGTTTTCAGTCCATTCCTATGGGAAATTTTGCTTCAACTTAAGAATGTTTCAACTTAAGAACACCATTCCAAAATGGATTAAGTTCTTAAGTAGAGTTTCCACTGTAGTTTCTATGGACGGAAAAGAGCAGATACAGATTAAATGGTTTTCAATGCATTCCTATGGGAAATGCAGATTCAACATAAGAACTTTTCAACTTGAGAACCACCTTCCAATACGGATTAAGTTCTTAAGTAGAGACCCCACTGTAAAGCCAGATGGCAGACCATAATTTTTTGCCTCTAAGAATTGCAATCCTGGTGTGATACAAGAGCTCTATGAAAAGGAAGGCCATGGTGTAGTCATACATGTCATTCTCCATCTTTTTGAACCAAATAACATACTTGAAACTGATGTAGCTAGGAAGCCCTGGGTATAAATCTTACCCAACCATTTTGTCACTATTCCTGACAAGGCACTGTTCCCCGGCCGAACAGCCCATCTAGAGGTTGGAATTATAATACTAATCTATCTTTTAAAACTGTTGTATAGATTACAGAAATAATGGACAAAATCCTGTTTCTTAGCATACTGAATTGCACTACAGCAGGCCCATTATATCAATGGGAATTTAGTAAGTTAACTTATTTGTAAGTTGCACTGTTCTAAATGGCCTTACACTAACTGCAACTTACTATGCTACAGTTAGAGCAGGCCCATTTGAATCAACGGAATTTATGGAGACGGGGACAACAGAGGACGAGATGGTTGGACAATGTCATCAAAGCTACCAACAAGAATTTGACCAAACTCCAGGAGGTAGTGGAAGACAGGAGGGCCTGGTGTGCTCTGGTCCATGGGGTCACAAAGAGTCAGACATGACTTAACAACTAAACAACAACAACATTTATGGATGAGTTGACTCACCAAATCCCCACTGATTCAATGGACCTGATCTAGGGTGATTTACTACCCTAGGCAACAGGAAGTATCTAAAGCACTTTCAAAACCCATATCATGTAAAGGGCCACCTCCCATCTTGATGCAACTACGCTTATATGAGCTTCATTTTGTAATCCATAGCAAATGTACATTACCCATACAATCATACAGTAAATATCATAGGCAAAAAGCAGGTGACTCTCCATCAACTTCAGACATTTGTCAGCCCCTGGGCTTGACTGCCCGCAGATCCTCATGCAAGTCCACTGCCTGTTTCAATAAAAGTATCTGCATCTATTCTTTAAATCATGCATGTTTACCAGTGGCCCTCTAGATTTTCTGGACTACAATTACTATAACCCTTCATTGTTAGGTACCTCCTAGAGCTGTTCTTCTTAGGCATCCTTCAGTCTCAAGAGACTATGGTAACGTGCTCTGTATCAAGGACTTGGAACAGCGTCTAGTGTAGCTAACAGAAGTGATAAACAAAAAACATCGGGAGATCCACAGTTGCCTAGTTTTGCTTTATATGTTGCCTTTACTATGGGAAAACAGATTTATGCCAGTGAGGTGTAAACAGATAAAGTGCCAGATTAGGACTCAGGAGACCAGAGTTCAAATCTCCACTCAATAATGGAAACTCACAGGGGAGGCGGGGTGGAAGTGGCAAAATCACTCCTTAAATATATCACTCATCTTGAAAATACTAACTTGGTGACATGCAACAGTAATAGAAAATTCAAGTCTCCGTTATTGCCTGAAATGTGCCTCACACCTTGTCAATTAGTGGCACCAAGTTACTCAAGCCTTTCATAAACACCAACAGGATTCTGACCCTAAACTAGGAAACGTACAGAAAATATGTAATTACCATCCCTCTATAAGGCAGAAATACAAAGCTAAACAATGCACTTAAACAGAAGCGCAGATCAGTTGAGAAGAACAAAATATCATTTTGACTAAGGTTGAAGAAAAGGGATGACAGTTTGGACAGCATGCAACAAAAGGAAAATCAGCAGCTCCAAAAATAAAGTGTAGAAAGAAATGTAGCCGGAAGACCTCAGGCAGGTTCCTCAAGCTTGCCTATCAGACAGGCAAGCTTTTCCGAACAGAACAGTTTAGGGACCATTCTGAGAATGCCTCACATCCAAAGTTTGACTACTATAAACACGTGTCCAGGAGCGAAGGTGTGGTCAGCAGGGGAAGCCAGACGGGCGATGGGTCCCTTTCAAGTACACCCCTCGATGCTAAACCTGGCTTCGTGCTGCGTGTGGGGGGGGGGAAGACCCCAAAAGAGCGGGTAAAACGGAAAAGGTGGACGCGGCGGATGGGAGGAGGCCCCGAGGATAAATGAATCGGCCGACACCAGACGGGGAGGGAGCGGCCGCCCAACTGGCCACAACCGCCGCCGCCCTCCCCTCCCCCCGACGCAGGCGGCGGCGGCTCCCGGTCTCCCGGTCAGGCGGCCCTTACCTTGCTTACCTCCAGTCGTGCTTAGGCCCAGCTTGTGTCCCGAAAAGGGGCGCGCCTCATGGGGAAAGGG